GTGTGTGTGTGTGTGTGTGTGTGTGTGTGTGTGTGTGTGTGTGTGTGTGTGTGTGTGTGTGTGTGTGTGTGTGTGTGTGTGTGTGTGTGTGTGTGTGTGTGTGTGTGTGTGTGTGTGTGTGTGTGTGTGTGTGTGTGTGTGTGTGTGTGTGTGTGTGTGTGTGTGTGTGTGTGTGTGTGTGTGTGTGTGTGTGTGTGTGTGTGTGTGTGTGTGTGTGTGTGTGTGTGTGTGTGTGTGTGTGTGTGTGTGTGTGTGTGTGTGTGTGTGTGTGTGTGTGTGTGTGTGTGTGTGTGTGTGTGTGTGTGTGTGTGTGTGTGTGTGTGTGTGTGTGTGTGTGTGTGTGTGTGTGTGTGTGTGTGTGTGTGTGTGTGTGTGTGTGTGTGTGTGTGTGTGTGTGTGTGTGTGTGTGTGTGTGTGTGTGTGTGTGTACTTATTTGTGTATCTTCATTTCTGCAGGATCACCAAGATGACATTGAGATCAGTTTCCTCACCAGTCTTGTATGCTGCCACACGTGAGTCCTGTCCCATATCATCAGAGCAAGGTGTTCCACCAGGGTGGGTGAGGCTGTGGATAAGGCCTCGGTCACACTATGATTGTCATGGTGGACGCTGGACGCAGCGTCAAACCCAATCACTTTACCCTGCCGTGGAGCAACACTGCCTTTTTGCTGTTGCTGTCATGCCCTGACGTCCTTCACCAAGCCACTCTACGGAGAACCAAATCACTACAATAGAGTACGGTGTTATTGTTATTATTATTATTCAAACGGTAGTTTGGAGGCGGTGGAAAAAACAGTTTCGTAATCAATATTTGCATGCAACGACGCAAATCCACACAATTCAGTAGACACTTCCTTTCTATCAAACGTTTTCTTTCCCTTCTCTTCAGGATAGTACAGGGAATGTTGGAAATTTTGAAAAACACATAACTATATAGAAAAATAGAGAACAAGTCAACACTTCAACATAGGCGATAAAATGGCTAAAGTGTAAAAAAAAAACTTGAAAACAAAAGCAGCAAGTTGTAGGCAAACACGTTGAGCACATCAAGAAACACTTGTCACACTTTCACGAGGTGTGACACCAAACAACTGCAACGATAACACATTCTCCTTCTGTACACATAGTTCTGGATCTAGTTTACGAATATACAGAGCTTCTAACACAGCAAGCTATGTGTACAGAAGGAGAATGTGTTATCGTTGCAGTTGTTTGGTGTCACACCTCATGAAAGTGTGACAAGTGTTTCTTGATGTGCTCAACGTGTTTGTCTACAACTTGCTGCTTTTGTTTTCGAGTTTTTTTTACACTTTAGCCATTTTATCGCCTATGTTGAAGTGTGTTACATTCCCACTCACAAGAACACACAGTTGTGGAATGTATTAGGATTATTTACAAAGAGAATAATGGACGTGCAAAGTAACAAGATAGAAAGAAGAACAAACTCAGACACAGGAAGTCTGAACTGGAGTGCGCATGCGCAGAGCATAGCGTGCAAGCAAACATGCGCAGAGCCTAGCGTGCTTACGCGCACATACAAACATAACAATCCTCCCCCTTAAGAGAAGCAATAGTAAAGCGGAGATAATTAAGATCAATATTCAAATAACAGCCATAGCGTAAAGGTAGCAGTAAAGCAGTCACATCTCATTAATAAGCCTAGATGGGGACTTCGGTGCACGGGCTGATCGGCGCGGTGCAACAGGGTCTGCAGACGGACTGGGAAGTGCAGACGGTTCGGACTCGTTGGTAGTGTCTGGTACTGACGGCTGCAATGCACTATCGGGTTGAATCAAAACCGGTGTGCCAACATCACTGCGAGGAAGAACAGCATCAGGTGGCGCTGTAGAACGATGACGGAGATGATCTACATGGACATGTCTTTCCTGCTGACCAATGCGAACAATTTACGAGACCGGACCTAGCTTCTGTACAATAACGCCAGGTAGCCACTTAGGCCCGCTGCCGTTGCGAGTGTTCAATACAGGTACAGTGTCCTCCACCACGAAATGACGACCTTGACCTGGCTGTGGCCGTGCTTGACGTTCACGCTGTGCAGCTGCAAAGTAGGGCTTTAAGCGTGCCAACTTGGTGCTCGGTAATTTCCTGAAGAGCAGACTAGCTGGGGACACATTCGTTGATGAATGGGGCGTGTTACGATACATAAACAAGAAACGGTGCATCTGGGTCTTCTCAGACACATCCAAAGGACGGGACTTCAGAGCACGCTTCAACTCCTGGACAATGCGTTCGACTTGTCCGTTACTAGCTGGGTGGTACGGCTGGGTGGTACGGCGGTGTACACCAAACAAAGCTGCGTGCTACTGCCTTCATTCTGACAATGCCAATATGGACAGAATGCATCTCATTTAGCAGCAAACGGCGAAACACTACTGGGATGACGGTACGGCCACCACGAACTACACAGCCCGACTCTAGGGTCAGCTCATGACGAATCTTGTAGTATGGTCGCGTAGCCTCGCTGATCTCAGCTGGCCATCCGAACTGTAGGTACTGCAGTACTGGAGCAATCTCACTGTCCTGCTTGCTAGCATCTGCAACATCACTAGCATCAATTGGCAAATCCTCAGTAGGATCATGGGCATGCTCGTTGACAGCACTGACAATTGCACTCTCTTGTGCGGCTGTCAGCTCCATAGGCAGGCGTGACAAGCAATCTGCGACAGCATTGCTACTACCAGAAATGTGCTCAAACACATAATCATACTCGCTAAGAATGACAGCCCAACGCTGTAAACGGGAAACAGCAGTGGCAGATAAACCATACTTCTCACCAAAAATGTGCAGCAATGGCTTATGATCAGAGCATAGAACAAAAGAGCGACCAAACAAATAAATGTGTAAACGCTTAACTGCAAACACAATGGCTAAAGCTTCACGCTCTATCTGCGAATAGTGAGCCTCTGCCTTAGCAAGCGAACGGGAAACATAGCATACAGGCCTACGGCTGCCATCAGCATACTCATGCATGAGACACGCGCCAATGCCGTAAGGCGAAGCATCGCACTCAACGACCACTTTCTCATTCACATCAAAATGAGCTAGCACTTCGGGCACTGGTGAGCATACGCTTTACCTCAGCGAATGACTTCTCACACTCATCTGTCCAGTTCCACGGAACACCTTTGCGGAGCAAGTTGTTGAGCGGCTTCAGAACACTGGACATGTCGGGTAGAAAGCGGTTGTAGAAGTTGACACAGCCTAGGAATGACTGCAACGCTTGAACATTCTTCGGTGCTGACGCCTTCAGGATAGCCTCGACCTTGTCCTGATTGGGCTCGAGACCGTTCCGGCTGATGCTGTAGCCCAAGTAGCGTACACGATCCACACGGGTACACTTCTGCTTGCGAAGACGCACACCACGCTCTGCTAGCCACGCTAGCACCAACTTGAGTCGCCGGTCGTGCTCTTCGACATCGCACCCAGTGATGAGAATATCATCATAGAAGCAGACGACACCAGGAATGTCGTGCAGAATCTCATCCATTGTCTTCTGCCAAATTGCTGGGGCACTGGACACGCCAAACGGAAGGCGCTGGAATGCGTAGAGACCTCGATGTGTTGTGATGACGCAATACTTCTGACTGCGTTCCGACAGCGGTAGTTGCGCATAAGCTTGGCTAAGATCCAGCTTCGTAAACACTGATCCTCCAGCTATCTGCGACAACAGGTCGTTCAGATTTGGGATCGGGTGAAGCTTGGAGTTGATGTGCGGGTTGATCGTGACCTTGAAGTCCGCGCACATGCGAATGTCCCGATTCTGCTTCCTGACAATCACAATAGGTGAGGCCCACTCTGCTGACTTGACGGGCTTGATAATGCCTTCTTGCTCCAGCCTGTCAAGTTCCTTATTGACAGCAGGACGCAAAGCAAATGGCACGGGTCTGGGGTTGCAGCACTTGGGAGTGGCACCGTCGTTCAGGTAGATCTCAGCTTCACGATCACTCACTTTGCCCAGACCATCACAAAATACTTCAGGGTACGCATCCTCTGCTGCTGGCTCACTCGCTGCAGTGGCGTTCACCCGGTTGAACATACTCTGCCAGTCAAGTCTCAACTGTGATAGCCAGTCGCGTCCCAGCAGCGGATGGCTGCCTTCACGTACTACGATGACCCGCGCACGAACATTCTGCGCGCTGTAGCGTACATCAACATCTGCTTCGCCAACAATCGGCAGGACTGAACCATTGTAGGTCTTCCGTCGCACAGAACATTCACGCAAGGCAACATGTGTCCAATGTTGCTCCCATACGTCTTGCGGCACCAAAGTGTACATGGATCCGGTGTCCACCTCCAAATCCAATGGAGTACCGTTGATCTGCACTGTGGTGATTAGCATGTTCGATGTTGGCTTCCCAGCTGACACTTGGCCAACACGAAAACTATCAGACACCTCGTAGTCCGTGACTTCGCGCACATGATGGGCGGCAGTCTGCGACGCTGATCCTGACTTGCAGCACTTAGCGAAATGACCTGTCTTGCCACACTTCCTGCATGCCTGTCCCTTAGCTGGACATGAAGCATCTCCGGATTTGTGTCCCTTGCGACCGCAGCTGTAACAACTGACACGTGTACCAGCAGCTGGGTGGTGTCTGCCTTGGCCCCTGGCCTGGCCCTGGTGCTGGCCTCTCCTGGACGTAACTGCACTGACAGCATGATCACTCGCGGACTCCGATGCTCCAGCTCCAGCAGAAACAGTACGACTAGTCATCATCTGAGACTGTGACTGTGCATCCTCCCAGACGCGACAGAGCTCCAATGCTCGATCGACTGACAACGACGGCTCAGACAATAATTTTTTCTTCAAGTCAACATTCCTCACCGTTGCTACGATTTGGTCTCGGACTGCCTCATTGGTCTGGCGAGTGTTCTCAAAGGAACATAATCTAGCCTGCTGCCGCAAACGGCTGCAGAAATGCGCCGTACTCTCTTCTGCTTGCGGAACCAGCTGGTGAAACACATGCCTTTCGTAGGTAGGGTTTGCTGGGGCTGCGAAATGCGCGTCCAAAATTCGCTTACATTTCAGGTACTCGTTATCATTCGGGGTCTTCTGCTCCTCTGGCAGAGCATCGTCAGGGTCAAGTAGGTCATCAATAATATCTTGAACCTGTGGTCCCGCAAAGTGCAACAGCAATGCTCTTGAGCGCTTCTTGTTCGAAATGTCCTTGCCCACTAAATAATACTCAAAAGACTTCACCCACTTCCGCCAACGGATGGACACCTGGGAAGCTGGGCCTGACGTATCAAAACTCTGAAGACGCTTGTCGTCTTCCATCTTCGTCGCCAATGTTACATTCCCACTCACAAGAACACACAGTTGTGGAATGTATTAGGATTATTTACAAAGAGAATAATGGACGTGCAAAGTAACAAGATAGAAAGAAGAACAAACTCAGACACAGGAAGTCTGAACTGGAGTGCGCATGCGCAGAGCATAGCGTGCAAGCAAACATGCGCAGAGCCTAGCGTGCTTACGCGCACATACAAACATAACAAAGTGTTGACTTGTTCTCTATTTTTCTATAGTTATGTGTTTTTCCAAATTTCCAACATTCCCTGTACTATCCTGAAGAGAAGGGAAAGAAAACGTTTGATAGAAAGGAAGGGTCTACTGAATTGTGTGGATTTGCGTCGTTGCATGCGAATATTATTATTATTATTATTTTAAAACGAAGGTAAGTTATGGGTCGCAAGTATCCATGCAAACACACATCCAGTCATAATAAGGCACTTGTCATAAGTATCCAAACGTTTTCGGTCACTTCTCATCAAGGATTATACAGGGAATGGCTCAAGTTGGAAAGACTAAAACTTATATAGCGTAAAGATAATTAGATGACAACACTCGTGACAAGGTGGAAAATTATCAAGTTCAGCACGACACAGAACTCGAAGGAAAATAATAATAGTAACAACAACAATCATAGTGAGCAAATTAAGTTACATTATTACCACCTCGACGAGGAGTAACACCAAACAATTGTAGCGACAACACATTTTCTTTCTGTACGCAAAGTTCAGGATCTAACTTACGGATATACAAAGCTTCTAACACAGCCAAATGTAACGCACATCTACCACGTGACAATATTGAGAAAACATTATCACTGTACAACTCACGACAATTGGTACGGGCTGACAGATGCTGCTTGATTGACGAAGTGCGATTCTTAGCTCCGTTGGGTGTTGTCTCCTCCAATGTCCCGCCATCTCGCCTCTTCGTGGCATCACCTCTATCCGTCTCTTAGCGTTTCCGCGGCCTTCCACGTTTCTTGACACTAACCGTTGGGTGCGCGATACCCAGTGTCCTTTCAGCTACGTCTCCTCCATTGCGGATTTCTATTGAGTTTCTTACTCCAACTTGTCCGGTGTCCGATATTGAGGTTCGTTTTCGCGGTCTACCACGTTTTCGAATATTGACTGTTGTTGTCACTTCCGTTGTCGTTGTACGTTCGTCCTCACCAGTCCGTATTTTCACTTGGCTTCTCGTCACCCTTTCCGACGCCGACAGATCCTTTGTCAGTTTCGGTGATCCTTTGCTCACTATGATTGTTGTTGTCACTATTATTATTTTCCTTCGAGTTTTGTGTCGTGCTGAACTTGATAATTTTCCACCTTGTCATGAGTGTTGTTATCTAATTATCTTTACGCTATATAAGTTTTAGTCTTTCCAACTTGAGCCATTCCCTGTATAATCCTTGATGAGAAGTGACCGAAAACGTTTGGATACTTATGACAAGTGCCTTATTATGACTGGATGTGTGTTTGCGTGGATACTTGCGACCCATAACTTACCTTCGTTTTAAAGTATTATCCGCCTCCGACCTCTTTTAAAAATTATTATTATTATTCAAACAGTAGTTTGGAGGCGGTGGGAAAACAGTTTCGTAATAAGTATTCGCATGCAACGACGCAGATCCACACAATTCAGTAGACACATTTTTTCTATCAAATGTTTTCTTTCCCTTCTCTTCAGGATAGTACAGGGAATGTTGTAAATTTGAAAAACACATAACTATCATAAAAATAAAAGAGAATGAAAGAAAGAAAAAAGCCAACACTTCAACATAGGTGTTAAAATGATTAAAGTGTTCAAAACTCAAAAACAAACAGCTGCAAGTTGTAGACAAACACGTTAAACACATCAGGGAACACTTGTCACACTTTCACGAGGTGTGACACCAAACAACTGCAACGATAACACATTCTCCTTCTGTACACATAGTTCTGGATCTAGTTCTGGATTATTATTATTTAAAAGCGCTGCCGCTTTCAAGTCGGTGGATCCATTAGGTCCACCCACAGGTTCGCTCGTGCCGGATAGATTCAAGTAAAGCCGGGGATAATTATTGGATGATGTTGAGCTATACGATGGCACAGTATGTATGCTATTTTCAAAAAACACTGTTTTCATGCAAGTGTTTTCCAGTAGGGCTGTGTTAATAGTAAAAAGAAAAGAAAAAAGTGCTTGCAAGAGCAGTGTCGACGCACCCGATTTGCTTGCGTCAGACGCTGACATTTTTGAGATTCTCATTATGCCACTTAGTCAAAAAAGGAAACAGCGCCTGCTCACGAGAAAATGCCTTGGAGAAAAGTGACACGGGTTCGCACACAGGGCGGGTCAAGAACCACCTTTCCACTTTCCGTTGGACACCGCCACCCCATGATCAGGCGTCGGATACGGCTCCTAAGCAGAGAAAAGGAGGGGAGAGAAACATAAAAGGAGGTGAAGAATGAAAACTGAAGCGGTGATTCTGTGAATGAGGCATCAGTTTGGTGAAAACGTATCGGTCGTTTGAGGGTTTTTTTGCGGGCATTGCAAAGCTAAGAAAATGATTACTGTAAAACTAGGAATTTTCGGTGGTGTACCATTTTCGGTATTTCCCCAAATCAACGATTTGGTAGCGCGAAAACTTCGGTAAACCAGTTTTCCAGATCAAAAAATTCATTTTGCACACTGTGTGGCGTGGCATGGTTGAATTTTAGGTCACGTTTTATTTAAGGTGAAAATTACCGTACTGAAGCTACCGAAGATTAATCTCCAGCGAACGTTTCCGTTTCTCCAGTACACGGGCTAGGAGGCTTGTAGCAAGTGCTCATCAATTATTATTATTATTTTTTTTTTAAAGAGAACACAAACCTACAAATCATGTTGAAAGACAAAAAGTACATTGGACTGGGTAGGCGCTATCCACAATGCCAGTTAATAGCTGTGCTGATGAAATACATGGACTCTGCCGACCATGGGTCTCGGCGTCACAGTGCCATGTATGCATCAAAATTAATCATAAGTTTATAATGAGCCAACATAAGAAAGTGACTAAAGACGAAAAAAATGAAATAAAAAAATAACGAGTTCATGGAATTTTTAAGGATTTTTATGTTATTCAAAATCGATTTTCGTGTTCCGCTCATCAGTGAATAGTATCGGAACTGAGGGTACTGTGTACAAAAATAGAACATTTTATAACAGCATAATTAATTAAAAGTGTGAACAACAAAGGAAGTGCTACAGCATTACATAATAGGTGTCTTCCTTTGTTGTTCACACTTTTAATTAATTATGCTGTTATAAAATGTTCTATTTTTGTACACAGTACCCTCAGTTCCGATACTACAGTCAACTTCGCTTATAACGACACTCGGCGGGGCATCAGAAAAGTGTCCTTATTCGCGAAGTGTCGTTATACCCGAAGTCTCATTATATGTATTACAGATGGATGGGACTTTGCTCTGGGCATGGAAATTCTGTCGTTATTCGCGAATTGTCGTTATATCCGCAGTCGTTATAAGCGAAGTTGACTGTATTCACTGATGAGCGGAACACGAAAATCGATTTTGAATAACATAAAAATCCTTAAAAATTCCATGAACTCGTTGTTGTCTGGCCATGTCTGCATCGATTATACTCCTAATTGCACTAATAAAATTGCTTTCTCCACGCCGACTCTATAAAAAAATAAGACAAAACAAACAAGAAGGGAATAATAATAGTGGAAAAAAGGGGGAGATTGAGAGATGTGTGGGTAGCTCTCGAGTGATACGGCAGGGTGAATCTAGACCAGAGTGGCTGGCAACTTCGTCGCAGGTGTGTGCAGCAGTGGCTTTCAGAGGTGGTCTGTAGCCCACAGCCAGTCAGTGTGTAGCAAGTGCTTCCATCTGTCCCTGCGGGAATTTGCGGAAAAAACTCTCGAAAACTTGCGCAAGAAATTGCGGCAGAAAACAACAAAAAATGCGAAGAAAAGTGCAGAATGATGTAGAACTTGCCAGGAATTCGCGGAATTATTCACAGAAAATTGCGGATTTGGGCCAAATCACGAAATTTGTTGCATCGTATATCTACTCGGGAGTAGTCCGAGTCGTACTATGCAAATAACCTACAGGATCATGGAAAGCACTGTGTGAAAAGTGCATAAAAAGTGAGATATAGTGCAAAAAACGTGGGAAATCGCGGATTTTGCTGAAAATCGCGGGTTTGGGCGAAAATCGCGAAATTTGTTGCATCCGTGGAATCGCGATTTCCTGGAGGGACAGTTCCATGCAGCTGCCTTGAAGCGGTGCAGCCGTTGCAGGGACATGGGTGGCTGGAACAGGGAGGGTGGCAGTTGATTCCACAAACTGATGTGGGCAAACGGGAAGGACCGCCTGATGTACTCCGGTGCAGCTGGTGGTAGGGTATTGAGGAGCTGGTGAGGATGGGTCACCGCGTGCGTGTGTCAGGTTCGTGGACGAACCACAGTGGGTGCAGCTGGTGGGACAATGTTGGTCAGCTGTTGTGGGCTTCTGATGCACTGAAGCTTGTACATGTAGCACAGCCCAGAGAGAGTGCGTCGTGCAGCCAGACTCTGGAGGAGCACATCTGGTCCTATGATGGCCATTGCCTTCTGCTGAATGCGGTCGAGCCTGGCCAGATGGGTCGGGGCAGCAGACATCCAGACCAGTGGAGCATACTCCAGCATAGGGCGAATGAATCCTCGGTAGACACTCAGACGGCCATTGGTGTCAAGTATCCGCGCGGCTCGGCGCAAAAGCCCAATACGTTGACTTGCTCTCACCGCCATGCTGCTGATGTGCTGGCGAAACGAGAGCTTTGAGTCGAGCAATATACCCAACAGCTTCAGTGTTGATGCCTGGGCAATGTCGACACCACCAAATGAGATGCCTGGAGTGGCTGGGTCCAAGGATCGTGTGCACAGTAGCTGCTGTGACTTGGATGGCTCAAATGTCACCCGCCACCGCTCACCCCACTCTTGAAGGCCATGTAGGGCATCTTGT